GTTGAAAGTAACAGAGGCATCCACGGAATCAACGAGATGTCGATGAAGGGAGAAATCGTCAGGAGGCGCAGAATCAAGAGGGAGTAGATCAAAATATTTGGTCCACGAAGCGGGACCAAACAAAGCTTGATAGGTATCAGAACGGGAAGGAATCGAGCGAGGGTGGCCGTGACGAAGACGGCGGTGAGAACCCCCAGAGAGAGAGGGGTTAGAAGGCGCAGTAGTTACAACTAGAGATGGAGCCGCGGCAGGGGACGAGGTAGTCACCACTGGGGGCTTGGAGCTCGACCCAACCACAGAGGAGGGAGGGGAGCCGAGGGGAGGAGTCAGAGAGGCCAAAGGAGGAGCAAGGTCGGGGCCCAATGCAGCGGAGGCTACAGAACCCGGTCTTCCAACACGGACCGACTTGGGGGGCTTGGTCGCCCACCCCACGAGCCTGAGAAGGTAAAGGAGAAACAGCAGAAACAGTAGATATCATTGCTACGAAAAATCAACATTCATTCACGAATGTGCCCCCACACCCACCATGGAGCCACAATTAGAGGCAGGACACCCAACAAGAAGCTATTGCCGATCATGCCGGGGCCCCCTAGGGGTGCGTCATGAGTATACGCCCCACAAACGCCACCTTAAGAACCGACAGTCCGTCGAGATCGGGTTCAGTGATGAAAGGGGGATTGACAATAAAAGGTTCCCCTCGCTCTCGACGTTGGGTACTACAGTTCTACGGGTGCAAGAGTATGCCTCCCCAAGCATCTGGGCGTCAAAATAGAAGAAGTCCAAAGGAATAACCAAAACAAGCAAAAGGTCAGCAGGAAACGGCAAGCAGATAGGAGAAGAGGGGGAGAAAAACTAAACAGAAGGAAAAGGAAAAGGTGCTCAGCACAATTGGAGAGGACGGCGGCACGAGCACAAGGCTAGAAAAGGGCAGAGGACTGTCCCAAGGAGCATCACACTCCGGCAGCCACCCACTAAGCTCCCCTCACGGCGTCAACGGGCTGAATAGGGAGGGGGGTGTTATTTTGGTAGTTCCTCCACACTCTTTTGTTCAGTTCCTTTGCTTCCATACATGCCCTGTTAAATCATGGATTCTTTTTTTGCTTCTCGGATTTTTCCCTTTGGGCCGGGATAAACCTGTTTACTGCCTCCTGACACTTTTGGGTGACATAGTCCATCATGTCTTGTACAGACTTAGCTCTGAGGTCTGTGTCCCATGGTATATTCCTTAGGAAACTTCTCATCCCCTCATAATTCTCCTTTCTGTATACCAGCTTTTTGTTTTCTAGTTCTTTTTTGGGAGAGACGAGTCCAAGCTCTACCAAGTACTCAAAGATCAATCCACTATGATCACTCATTCCCAAGGGGGCTTCCATCTTAACTTCCCTTATATCACACTCATTGTAATGAGTGGGATGAGTGCACTGAGTGTGTAATACAGTGTGTTACTGTGTAAATAGTGTGTGAAACTGTACATATTGTAATTTTAGTGAATTTTTAACAAGTAATATTGCGACAATAAACATTTATTGAGGACACATTACTGACACATTTATCACAGTTCCATGGAACATTATGAACTTTCTACTGTATACATATTGTAAAGGACACAAATATGCATCATATACGATAAAAAAAATAAAACAGCATTGGAAATACATAGAACAAATAACTGAAAATATATTTGTGGCAACACCTGGTGCTTGAATGGCCCGCGTGACCGTGTCTGGGCGTGTCATGCACGGGCGACCAGGCCTCGATGATGTCACAGCGCACCTTGTCCATGTCTCTACAACCAAAGTAAGTGGAATTTGGTATTTATTTTTACATAGACATGTTCAGGGAAGGGAATTTATCATTTTACAAAGAAAAAAGAAATTTTTGGGAACACTTTATTTCATGCGCACAGGGGGAATTTCATAATAAACGCAGCGCAGCATGGTGGTTAATGTCTGTGGCCCGTTTGGGTACTCAGCTTCCTCCTGAGTACCCTTGTGCATGTACCCCTTTGTTTACTCTGTCACTTCCCCACTTGACAGGGTTGCGTTGATGGCTCCTCACAGGGTTGTTAGGTGTTGTATATTTTGCTTGGACACCTTGCGTATGTTTTCTGTGACTTTACTTTGTCTGTGTATCTTGTTCTTTGTTGTACTGTGGGGCACTGCCCCGCATTTTAGTGCTTTTTGTTAGTTTTTCGGAACCTGGGTCTTTTCCCTATATTTGGACACTCCATCGTTCCCTCGGTCTGTGCTTTTGTGTCCTCCTTTCTTGCTTGGTCTCTGTTCTCTAGACACTCCTTCCTTGCCTATCTTCGGTGCCTGGCAGCACCCTGATATCCATAGTGTTCCTCTGTGTTTGTGTGACCTCCCACTCCATACTTTGTGGTTGGTCGTGTTCATTGCGTTCCCGGCTGCTACTTGGTCCATATTCGGGCGTTTTCCTTGCCTATTTCCGTTTTTTCCTCCTGTTCTACACATGGCTGTGTATCTGGGTTGGTGCTTATTGGCTATACTGATGTTAGGTGCTGAAGTGGGTCTCTGTCCATGTTCAGTTCCCTGCTTTTGAACTACCCAATGTTCAGTTTTTGTACCGCGTTCCTTTCTTTTTTCTTTGTATCTCACTGCAGGGTTCTGTGTTGCACTGTCTGTGGGGGGGTGGTGGACTTCCGGTCCACTGCTACTGCCCTACTGGTTCCTTTTCTTGGGATGTGTAGCTGGGATTCTGGTCCTGGCTCCAGTTTTTCTTTGTTCCACATCCGAAACATGTGTTTTTGTTTTCCTGCGGTTCACATCCTGCATAGTTCCCCTCCTGTATACCTTGGGGACGCGTGCATTCGGTTTTCCCTGCTGGAGCTGGTTGCACTACTCCTTTGGGTTGCGGGGGCGCTGTTTTGCTTCGCGTCTCGCGCTTTCGTTCGTGGTGCTCGTTTTCCTCGTTGGCCTTTGCCTGGGCCCTGGCTCCTCGGGGTTTGGCCTTGTTGGCCTTTCAGAGGTCCTGGTGGGGGGGGGGGTCCTCCCGGACAGTGTGCGTCTGCTCGCCTGGGTTGGTTCCTTTTGGCTCACTGGGATTGTGTTCCTGGTTTCTCTGGTTTTTGCCTGCCTTGGCAAGACATGCTGCTTTCCTCGGTTCTGGTCATGTGGGTCTTCCCACGGCTCTGCCTCTTTTTGCTGATCGATCCAGCCCTGTTCCAAGCTGGTTCGTTCTTCCCCTTGAGTCTTCACGTCTCGGGGTTTTGTCTCTTAGTTCTCATCGCTTGTGTGGGCACTGGTGGCTTAGTTGTTGGCCTCCCGCCTGCATGCTTCATCTCGGCAGCGGTGTGTAGTTCCTGGCGGTCCTTCCGGTTGTCCTATCACTGCAAAGGGTCCTTCGGTCTCTGATAGGGTTGTTTTGTTTTTCCCTTCGTGGTTGTTCTGGGTCCGTCGTCTTGTACCGTGTACTGTCGCCTCGTTTTGGGCGTTTTGGGTGGCGCTGGCAGAGCCACTCCAGCTTGCATTCGGTGTTGCTGTTCCTTCTGTTCCGTTCTGCTTGCTGTCTTGGGCGTTGTTTCACCTCCGGCTTGCTCTTGCGTTTCCGGTGCCGTCCTGGTCGTTGGCCTGGATGGTCTATTTTCTTTCTTCTACTTGTTTTGGTCCTTGGGTTGCTGTTTGGTTGGTCAGGCCAGAGGGCTTCCTATGTTGTTCGGTTGTGGTTCTTCGCTGTTCCCTGCGCGTCTTGGCCTCTGGGGTCATGGACGCGTTTTGGTTTGCCCGGGTTTCCTTCCTTCCCTCATTCCTGTTCTGGGGTTCGGGTCTGCGGGGTCTTTTAGTTTTGTCTGTGGTTTTGTTTTTTAGGTTAGGGTGCGTGGCATCCGCCTCTCGGATTCTTCCCTCTTTTCCTTATCTGTCGTGAGGTAGCTCTGGGGAGCCGACGGGGCTCCCCACTAGAAAACCAGCATTGAATGTAATGAAATGCCATTTTCTGGGTGAGTCCCGGGGGCTCCCCGGCATCCCTCCCCCCCTCCCTCTAGTTGCCGGTAGTGTTCGCGTATTTTGACATCTAGCCTAAGAACTGCTGGTTGGATCGCCGGCGCGGATGGTCTAGTGCTCTAGGCGGGGTGGTGACATGATAACGTGATGACGTCATGCACTCGTTCGGCTTTCGGTAGCAATATTTTCACCAGAATAGGGGTTTGTTTTGGGGTGCCTACCTTTTTGGGTGCCTGTCCCAGTCGATGACAGATATAAAATGCTCCCGACCACAGTGGGGTTTCTATAGGCCATTGCTCCTCGTGCCTCTCTGAGGGGGCCAGGTTCTGGCTCGTGGTTCCCGGTAGGCAAGAACTTCAAGTACTTTGACTGATGCCAGAAAGTTATACATATCCATTAAGCCTGGATAGCTCCGGGGAGCCTCCGGAACTCGCCCAGAAAATGGTGTTTCATTACATTCAAAGCTGGTTTTTTGGAACAATTTATTTTTGGCACACTACGGGAATGTCATTATAAAAGGTGCGCAGTGCATGGGTTAAAGGAAATTCAGTTAAAAAGACAAAGAATTTGAGATAGAAAGCTGGATGACATACCATGCAATATCTGGCTGAAATTAGTGAGATTCCAAACATAACTGAAAGACTATAGAAGATGAAGCACATAGAAACATTGTATAGTAAAGCTAGCACTCCTTGGTTAAATAGTGTAGGAAATAAAAAGATAAAAATTTAAAAAATGTAGAGCAAGAGTAATATTGTCATAGAAAAACAAAAAATATTAAATAAAACCATTGAGTTAATATACTGCCCAATAACAAAAGTAACATCAGGTTTATGAAAATATAAAAAATTATATTTCAAACCTGTGCAGTATCTATAAGGCATCAGTGCTAAATTTAAATAGAAGCCATGCTTTTTGGTTCAAACCTAGAGGAAAAAGTACAGAATAAACATGATGAATCGATGAAGGAAGTGTCAATACTGTTGATGCAATATATGATATATAATAACAGGAGTATAATAACATACTATATCTTACCATGATCGAATAATAACCCAACATGCAGAGAAAATAAAAGGAGCATTTAGGACTAAGCATACTCCAAGACGTTCAGGATAATGATCAGTCATGATTGTATAGAGGGTTTTCAGAACAGCATAGTCCATACACATCAAGCTAAAGTTCTTCATGTCAAATAAGAGGCAGACATTGTCAGGGCCATCTTCTTGACACTTGTCAGCAGCAGTCTCCTGGTCATCCAATCATTGAAAGAGGAAACTCAATGAGTAAAAATGTTCAGTAACATTTTAATACAGTATAGAATATTTATAATAGGCACAATAAACTGTTGTGCATATACAGTATGGTGCATAAATTAATCTGCAGTTACTGGTAAATATATTCTATCTAAAATGGCAATAATTACTTAACTTTTTGTACATATTTGTGTGTGTGATTACCAAAGAATAATTACTCAAGTGGTAATTCTACTTGGAATGCTTAGTGGACGGCTGCTGGAGTGTGATGCTCGGTGGGACGGTCCTCTGTCCTTTGGTGGCCTTGCACTCCTGCTGCTGTCTTCTCTAATTGTGCCGGATCGCTTTTTCTTTTCCTTTTGTTTCGCTTTCTCCCCCTCTTCTCCTATCTGCTTGTCTTTTCCTGCCGACCTTTTGCTTGTTTTGGTTATTCCTTTGGACTTCTTCTATTTTGACGCCCGGGTGCTTGAGGAGGCATACTCTTGCACCCGTAGAACTGTAGTACCCGACGTCTCGAGCGAGGGGAACCTTTTATTGTCAATCCCCCTTTCATCGCTGAACCCGATCTCGACGGACTGAGGGTTCTTAAGGTGGCGTTTGTGGGGCGTATACTCATGACGCACCCCTAGGGGGCCCCGGCATGATCGGCAATAGCTTCCTGTTGGGTGTCCTGCCTCTAATTGTGGCTCCATGGTGGGTATGGGGGCACATTCGTGGATGAATTTCTTTCTCTTCGTCTATATGTCGTTGAATGTTTCTGTTGTACCCTCTCAGGCTCATGGGGTGGGCAACCAAGCCCCCGAGTCGGCCTGTATTGGAAGACCGGGCTCTGTAGCCTCCGCTGCATTGGGCCCCGACCTTGCTCCTCCTTTGACCGTCCTGAATTCTTCCCCCAGCTCCCCTCCCTCCTCTGTGGTTGGGTCGAGCCTCCAGCCCCCAGTGGTGACCACTTCATCCCCTGGTGCAGCTAAGTCTCTTGTTGTGACTACTGCACCTTTTGACCCCTCTCTCTCTCGGGGTTCTCAACGCCGTCAGCGCCACGGCCGCACTCGCTTGTTTTCTTCCTGTACGGATGCGTATCGGGCCTTATTTAATCCTGTTTCGTGGGCCAAATACTTTGATCTCCTCCCTCTTGATTCTGCGCCTCCTGACGAATTCTCCCTCCATCGGCATCTCGTTGATTCCGTGGATGCGTCTGTTACTTTCAACCCCACTTGTCTCGGTACACATGTCGTTGCTGCTCCTTCTCAGGATGCAGCTTCCCGCTTGGCTGCCTTATCCTGCCTTGGTGAGATCCCTGTTCGGGTCTCAAAGAACACTCAGTTGAATGCCAGTGTTGGCACTATTCTCCTCCCGCCCCATGTTGCAACCGGTGTTCAGAATCTGCAGGACTGCCACGATGACATTCGGCATATCCTTGATGCCCAAGGCCATTCTGTCCTCCAGGTAGACTCATTTACTCGTACCCCTCATGGTCGTCGCCATCAACCCCTTCAAGTTGTGAAGATCACCTTTGATGGCAGGACCCTTCCATCCTCTCACATTCTTGCTGGTGCCAGGTGCTCTGTCCAAGAGTATATTCCTTCTCCTCGGCTTTGTAACAAGTGCTGGAGGTTTGGGCACGGTGCCCTCCACTGCTCTGGGACTGTCTCTCTGTCCTTTGTGTGGGGGTGAAGGTCACTCTAAGTCGGAGTGCACTTCTCCCCAAGCTCGCTGCCTCAACTGCGGTGAGGCCCATCCTACCTTCTCCTGTGCCTGTATCCATTACAAGCTTGAGGCAGCCGTCCTCAACTTGAAGCACCTGGAGCGTTTATCTTTTCCTGAGGCGAGTCTCCAGGTTCGCCGGCTCCCGCCTTATGCTAACGTCTCTTATGCTCGCGTGTTGCGCTCTTCCCCTCCTCGTCCTTCCCACCTTCCTCAGACTCACAACCGTTTCCAGGCCTTGGACCCTGATACGCCCACTGCCCCCTCCTCTGTTCCTTTGAGTTCTGTCCCGAAGGGTCCCCCTCCTGGTCCTCTGTCTGGGGTTCCCCTTCTTTCTGCCTGGTCTGTCATGTCTCCTGTGTCTTCTACCTCATCTCCCTTCGATCCTCCTTCCCATCCTTCTCCTCCATCTATTGACTCTCCCCGCCGCTGTCGGTGCAGGCGGATGTCCATCGCTCTCCTAACGGCCGTCATGTGTGCACTCGTTCAGCTTCTCCTGTTGAAACGCTGGAATCCGTTGCCCAGTACGTAGTTGCTGGGACACCGGTCTCTTTACGTCAGAAGCGTAAGCCTGGCTCCTCTCCTTCCTCCTCCCTGGCGGGTAAGAAGGCTTCGCTTTCTTCCTCGGCCCCTACTACTGGCTCTATTGCTCCTTCCCCTGCCATTTCAGTGGTTGCGCCCCCTGTTCCTGCTATGGAGGTTTCTTTGCCCCCCGCTTCCCTCTCGGTTGCTGCCCTTGCTAAGGTGCGCTCCCCTCTTTCTACATCCCCTCTTCCTGCTGCTGTCCTTGACTGCTCCTCTCCGTTGTCTCCTCCTCTTCCTCCTCCTCCGGACCCCGCCCGCCCACCTCTAGTCTGTTCCCCTGCTTCCTTCCCTCCGTCTTTGCTCAGTTTACCCATGCGCCCCTAACCCTGACTTTGCTGACCCTGATATTCTTTAACGTGCTCTGTTGCTCTTTCGCCTTTGTATGTTCCTTGTTCTGTTGTTGTCCTTTCTCTTCTCGTCGATGTCTATTCTTCAATGTAACGTTCGAGGTTTTTACGCTAATTTCCTCGAACTATTCGACAGAATTGTCAGACCAATTCTGGAGAATACAGCTCCAGCCTGGAGCCCATACCTAGTTAAACTCAATAAACATTAGAGAAGATTCAGAGGTATGCCACCACACTAGTCCCAAAACTGAGAGGTATGAGTTACGAGAAAAGGCTACAAGTGCTAAACTCACGTCCCAGGAAGACAGAAGAGTAAGGGAAAACATGATCACCACCTTTTTTATTTATTGTATATAATCATAAACATTCCGAACTGGGTTCCCACTTTTCTTCTGTTAGCTCTGGTCTTCATCTTCCCCAATCTTTCCTTCTTCGTCCCTATAATGATCCCTTCTCTCTCTCTGAACTTCGTTCTGCCCTGGCCCTCTGCAGTTCTACGGCGGCGAGCTCTGATGGTATTCATTATGAGATGCTTCGCCATCTCCCTCCGTGCACGTCTCAGTATTTACTGAGTCTGTATAATCGGATCTGGGAGTTGTCGTCAGTCCCTGAGGACTGGCTCGATGCCGTTGTCCTCCCTGTTCGCAAACCGGGGTCTCTGGGTACTTCCCCTAAGGACTTGCGCCCTACTGCCCTCACAAGTTGTGTCTGCAAACTCTTTGAACGTATGGTTAACGTTCGTCTGATGTGGTTCCTGGAACACTACCACCTCCTCTCCCCTTCTCAATTTGGTTTCCGCAAGTGCCGCAGCACAACAGATGTCCTGGTGAACTTGGAGGTCTATATTTGTACTGCTTTTGCTGCGAGGACCTCCATTGTTGCTGTCCTTTTTGACCTGGAAAAGGCTTACGACACCACTTGGCGGTATCATATTCTATCTCAACTTCATTCTTTTGGCCTTCGTGGTCATCTCCCTCTCTTTCTCCGCAGCTTCCTCTCTCGTCGTTCCTTTCGGGTGCGACTTGGTACCGCTCTCTCGCCTCTTTTCAGCAATACGAAGGTGTGCCCCAGGATAGTGTTCTGAGCACTACTCTTTTTTTGGTTGCCCTCAATGGTCTTCTTTCCTCTCTTCCTTCAGGTGTCTTCTCCACTCTCTATGTCGATGATCTTACCCTTTGCTGTCAGGGTGATGATTCGCCTCTCCTACAGCGCTGGCTTCAACTTGCGATTGATGCCATGTCGTCTTGGGCCACCGATCATGGCTTCAAGTTCTCTACTTCTAAGACTTGTGCCATGACTTTTACCCGGAAACAGGTCGTTCTTCGTCCCTCTTTGTCACTTTATGGTCATCCCCTTGAGTACAAAGATTCCGCGAAGCTTTTAGGGTTATTCCTTGACACTTGTTTGTCTTGGTCTCCCCATATCTCTTACCTCCATGTTGAGTGCTCTAAGGCCCTTACCCTCCTTCGGGTATTGTCCCATAATTCTTGGGGGGCAGATAGGCGCACTCTCCTTGCTTTACATTCCACTCTCATCCTGTCTAAGCTCGATTATGGTTGCCCTGCTTACTCGTCTGCTTCTCCTACTCTTCGCCGTCTTGATGCTTTGCACCATACTGGGTTGCGCCTCAGTTCTGGTGCCTTTCGTTCGACTCCCATCCTTAGCTTATATGTTGACACTGGCTTCCTGTCTCTCCAGGACCGCCGTGATCGCTACTGTCTTCGCTATCTTGCGTGGTCCTTACAACATCCTTCCTCTCGCCTCTATCGTGCTTTAACTCTTACCCCTCCTACGGTTCCTGTTCCTCTTCACCACCTCCCTCTTTCTGTCCGGTTATCCCGCCTACAGGATTCTCTTTCTGTTCGTATTTCTCATGTTTCTCCTCGTGTTGTTCCTTCTTTGCCTCCGTGGAGAGTCCCCCTTCCGTGGTTTTGTACATCCTTGACCTGTGTCACTGAAGCTTTTACCCCTCCTACGGTTCTAAAACGCCTTTTCCTTGAGCACTTTTCTTCTCACTCCCGCTCCGTTTCTGTTTTCACCGATGGGTCTAAGTCTGTGGACGGTGTTGGCTACTCTGTTGTTTTTCCTGATCACACTTATATGTGTCGTTTACCTCCGAAGACTAGCATCTTTACAGCGGAGCTTTATGCTATTCTCTATGCTCTTCGTCTCCTGCTTTCTCGTTGTCAGTCTTCCTTTGTAGTTGTTGTTGACTCTTGTTGTGCCCTTATGGCTCTCGGGTCCTTTAATCCGGTTCATCCAGTAGTTGTCGAGATCCAGCATTGGCTGTTTCTTGTTCACAGTAAATTTAAGTCGCTTGAGTTTTGTTGGGTTCCCTGCCATATTGGTGTGTCTTTA